AGTCAAATAAAAGTCTATTTTTCCTCTTCTTTCTTCTGTTGCTTATCACATTGTCACTCTTCTGTTAGGAAATTTAATCTCTGAGTTCTGAATTTCCCAATTCTTCTTGACTCTCTACCTAACGAACGCTTCATTCTTCTTTTTATTGTACTTTAGATGAAGGTTTACAGAATGAAGAGCTTCTCATTAAACAATTAGTATGCATATTGTTTTGTAAATTTAGTTGCCAAACCCAGGATATGTCAACAGTCTCCTTTTCTCAACCTTGAGTTTCCTATTACCAGCTTTCTTGTCCCCTCCTGACTTCTTGTCTTTGCCCCTGGGCTGGTGTCAAACACTTCATTCTTAAGCGACTGGAACTGACCTCTTTTTCATAATTTGGGAATTCAGTGTTTTGCTTTTGAATGGATTTCTGAAGACAAAGTGAAAACATTGAATTTTTTTTTGTCTGTCTATACCATAAATTTGATTTTTCTGAATATTTTCCATGGCAAATATTTCTGGTTGGCATCAGAAACTAACCTATCTTGCTTGTGAGATAGCTTTTCTCTCTAGTTAAGTATTTTCCCCAATACGTTTTCTAATAGCATAAGTATTCTAATTTTGGAAAACCAATGGATAGGAATTTATTCATATAGATAGGAAGGCCCCAGGAAGATAATGACCACAAGTGGCTTAAACTTACTGACTTTTGTTTGCAGACAATGTGAGAACGTAAAAACATTTCATATCAATTCCAGTGACTTGTTGCCTCAGAGTTAAGCCAACCAAAAACCAAACCAAACACACCCATTGCTGTTGAGTTGATCCTGACTCATAGTGACACTATAAGACAGAGTAGAACTGCCCCATAGAATTTCCAAGGAGTGGCTAGTGGATTCCAACTGCCAATCTTTTAGTTAGCAGCCGACCTCTTAACCACTGCGCCACCAAACACAAGATGGTAAATAATTATATAACATAGAAGGTTGGTTTGGGGTCAAATTTAGGTCAGGATCAGCAATTCTCAATTTTTAAATGCAAATACAAAGAAGCAAGTGTGCAAACAACAAATACCACTTATCAGCTTTGTGAGCAACAGTTTTTTCCTGTTCAGGTTCAGTAGTTTCAGGGGTGTCTGAGGAAAGGTGGACTCCAAGGACTGTAGAGAAATGAACAAAAGTTCCCTGGAAGAAAATGCGTGTCAGGGCTGGAGCAGCCCCTGTCACATGCCCATGATTTGTCATATTCCATGTCTTGAGGAGCCATTGTTCTGCCTCCCCCAGTCAACCATCAGCTCCCTCCTCAAGGACAGAGATTGTCCATGCTGTGGTGTTCTCCTTATGACTCAGGCTGTGTTCTGCACAGAATGAGAGATTAGATAAAATGTTGGAACTGCTTACAGAGGCTCCTATTAAAAACTTTCCCGAAGGACATCTCTCTTCTACTTCAGCCTTCATTAACACATTCACATTTACCAGGATGCTCATCTAAAAATATTTCTGCAGACTTCTGGCAAATGCGCTCTAGGCAGGAGCACCACGTCGTCCCTCCACAGCAAAGATCCAAAAACTAAGCCAAACAAAGAAAACAACAATCCTGAAACCCTCAAACATCAAATGAAGAGATAAAGAACTCAGCCCAGCACCAATGGAGTGAGAAAACTGACAGAGAACAGAGAGCGAGGAGAGATTCATGCAGAGGTCCCCTATCAGCTAACTCAGGGCAGATCTGCCATCTTGGACTCCTATAAAAGACCAGCAAATAGGGGGTATGAGAAAGCAGCTTCATGGAGCTTCCAGCGGGAGACAGAACAACTGGTAAGTTGTGATATACGCTTCCCCACCCCACCCTTCTTCACCCCCACTCAGCCTCCTCTGCTTCCCGTGGCCACAGTCTCTTGTCCGAGAAACATCGGCTGCCTGGATTCCACCCACCAACACTGGCCGGCTTTCTGAGTGCCATTTG